TTTGAAATAAAAGTCAAATTGCATTTAACCTGTGCGTTTTTTTTATTATAAAAAGAAAAGGTTTTCCACATATGCAAAAAGTGCCCTTTTTTCCCCCTGGAGCACTTGCCCCCCAAAATGTCTGTGCACGCCACTGCTGATTCTGAACAAGCCAAATATGTGTTAAGCATCTATGGGGGCTGAGCCCCCCTTAAATGAAAATCCTAGAAACGCCCCTGGCTGACAGCCTCTCAACACACCACTTGCGCTAGCTGTCTGTCTGTCAGCAGACCCTCTGGATGACCAAATCAAAAATGAAACTGGAGCAAAACTAGTAAACCCGGCTAATACTGATTTAATTGCACTTGAGTCTGTATTTGTGCTGAACAGTGCAGATGAGCTAAACCTATCATGCTGATCACTTTCTGTTCTGCTGCATTAACAGCAAAAACTATATATTCACCAATGTGAGGCGAACGAAACAAAGAACGTTTTATATTTTACCGTGCAAGTTATTAGCTTTCTATTAAAACGTAGGCTATGTAGTTATTAATTTATTTGTAATAAGGAATTTATAGAGAACTGTCATAGCAAAAGTATGGATGGCATCAATAATTTAGCTGGCTTATATTTTTATATATATTTTACCGAATGTACGTCGCACCGCCATTCTAGATATCTGAAATGACGACGACAGGGAAACATACTGGCGGAAGACGCGTCATTTTTCCTATCAAGAATTCAATTTCAATCTGAAATGTAATTGTGGATATCTGAAATTGAAAGCCCAATAGACATGAATGGAAAAGTGACGTAATTTCTCCTAGGAAGAATGACGTTGTGGATATCTGAAATGACAATTGTGGATAGGAAGAATGTCATTGTGGATATCTGAAATGCTCTTTTTGACTAGGAAGAATTGAATTACGGATATCTGCAATACATATCCAGTCTAGCGATTAAATGTTAAAACGGCTTGCCATAGCGGTGAGCTCCTCTCCCGTCCCAAACCACTCACAGGTGGCCAGTCCGCGCGCAGCAGCCTCGCCCAGCTGCAGTCACAGCAGGAGATGTGCATCATTTTCTCACATTGCCACTGACAGTTTTTTTTCAATTGTCCTTTTTTGGTCCGTTTAGATTAATGTAGATTTTATACAAAAAAATGTTATGGTTAAAAATGTTAACGGTTCACTTGTTTACTGTGACTTGTATACTTAAGCAAACTTTAAAAAGTAACTCCGCCCGAGTGTCTCTTTGGGGTCACTTTTGCCGGTAGAAGAAAGTTCATTTGTAGTTCTAAACGTATCTATGGAAAAACAGTTTTCGTCTCTCCCACGACATTATTCCTCTCTCCTACAGCGTCCATTAAAATTACATGCACAGTATGCCAATGAGGTGATGGCGTCATTTAGCGTCTTCTAGCTACTTTTGGCAACTCCTCAGCTCCTTGCCGAGGAGTTGGCAAAATGGCAACAGTGTGAAGTAGCCACTTAAGCAAGGTATAGGCTACTCACGTTAAGAAAGGTTGAGAAAGAAAAATGTAACTTTGTCGCCGTGTCTTGATAGCAAAGGATGGAAACGCAAGCAACCTGTTACATCACTTACAACACGCATGTACGTGAATATGAAGAGGCAACCCGTACCCCAGCCAGAGTTCCGCACGGGTCCACTTTTGGAGACCCGCACAGTACAGCACCACACCCGCCCGTGCACCCGTGATTATT